CGCCGGCTGGCGCGGCCCGGGAGCATCGCTGTGGGGGGAGCCGGCCCGCCCGGACTGCGGGGTGGGTGTCTATCCCTCCTTCTGCCTGGATAAAGGAAACGGAGTTAATTTTACCTCGCCGAGAGAGAACAATTGGCTTTTAATGCCTCTGCAAGAAGGAAGTGGCTCTGTGAGCAGCCGTGATTAAAAGCTCGTGATGTATTTATTAGGTGCTGTACAAACAGCACTTAAACCCAGAGGCTTTTAACGTTCTCTTTACGCAAATAGACAAGTCTTCCCAGTCGCTGCCAACCCCAGCCGGCGTGCCACCCTCGCGACGTGGAAGGCTGCTGCTGCCGTAAGGGGTCAGCCGGAGGTGCCGGCGTGGGCTCCGGCAGGCTCCTGCCCTATCTTTCCGTGAGCAGAACGGGGCCGTGGGTGCGCACGGACAGGTGTCCTCTGATCCCGAGGCAGCTGCGCAGGGCTTCGGACACGGAGGCTGAACCAGGTCCTTCTCCCAGAGCGCTGGTCCCTACCTGCCTAGGACCGATGGCCATTTGCGGAGCCCGTCTGCAGGCTGATGATCCCATTCCTCTCGGAGAAGCCTACCTGTTGCGGGGAGCTTTCTCGTTCAGCCCTTTGGTGTATTTTCTGAGACTTCGGAGCGGCTTTGACCTTTAAGGTGTCGTTGGCGTTGAGAGCATCCTGGCTGGGGACCTGATTAAATAAGCGACCTCCCAGCGCTCGCCTTTTGATGTTACAAAACTCAAAGGCGTTACGCCGCAGACGAGAGCATTAGTGTTTGGTTTGTTACAACAGCACCTCCTATGACTGTGCTCTGGAAAAAATTTCCACACGTCCCTGACGTCACGGCCATTTGCTTTACGCTGCCTGGATACCAAAGAGTGCTTTTAACTCCTGGAGCACCACGTCACTGCACCCCGGCTCTGCCCACCAGCCCCGGCTGCCTCTCCTGCCTCCAGTGCGCATGAGGAAGATGAAAGGATGGAGTGCCTTTCCAATGGTGTCAGTGGCTGTCCCTTCTCCTCTTTCATAGACTCGGAAAGAAAACCACCAGAACCGCCTGCTTTCATCAGGAGGCTTCTGCAGCGATGGAGCTTTTTTTTTTTTTACGATGGAGACTTTCCCTTGTAGCGGGTCACTTCAAAGCCTTCAAATAAACCACCTCTTTTTATTTATGATGATGAGGACGAGCCAAGATCAAGCAGGCTTCCTTTGAAGTTCTCCTCGGCCTCTGCACTGGCCTGCTTGTTCCTGCAGCCTGATTAGCATACAGTTGCTTGGCATGGGCTGGCTTATCCTTCCCGTGGGCGGAGGGTGATGCCTAGTACGGCATGTTACTGTGCAGTTAATCAGTTGAGAGAATTCTTGTGAACTGGTAACTGATACCCAGAGTCCGTGCTGTGCTGCGTCTCCAGGCTCTCCTCCGCTCCCCGTAAGATTATTCTAGACATCTCCCTTCAGACCAGAGCTAAATTCCATCTTTCGCTGTTACGTAATTCACTGTGAGCAGTGCTGAAGTGCCCCTGTAGACATACAGGGCTGGTGGATGTGCCGTGCTCTGATGCGTCTCGGTACTTTCTTTTACTGGAGATTGAGCACTGGAGCTAATTTGGCCCCAATCCCGCTCCCATGGCCTTTAGCGGAGGTGATAGCCTGAGTTACTGGGGAATGTGAGGTGTGTAAACCTGAACAAAGCGCTTCCTGCAGACCTTCTTGGAAACGCCTCCGCAGCCCAGAGCTCTACGGACGGCGCGTCCTTCAGCGCACACCCGCAGCATAGCCTGCTAGCGTGAGGTGCTGCTGCTGGGGGAGCCAAGGGATCCTTTAAAACATGGAAGAACACGGTGTAATCTTAGTGTTTTACAATCCCAAATCCCAGTTTGTGGTTCTAAGTTTTCAGGGGCTGGCAGCATCAGCCCCCAAACAGCTGTAGTGACGTATTTTCCGTCTGTCCCCATCAGGGCGTAATCTCTGTGAAACGCGTGCCTCTGCAGCAGGGCTCGCTGTCGGAATTCAGTGTGCTGGGCTTTGCCTTGCACGCGGCAACGGTTGGATACTTTGTCCTGAAGTCCGGCTCCCTGGAGGGCTTGACTTGATCCCTTTCCTGTTTGTCTTCTCTTGCAGTTAAGATCCTCCTCTTCTATGTCATCTTCTACGGCTGCCTGGCAGGTATATTCATCGGGACCATCCAAGTGATGTTGCTCACTGTCAGTGATTTTGAGCCCAAATACCAGGATCGAGTGGCACCTCCAGGTAACCATAATCGGGAGACCCGTGTTTGACTCGGCGCAGGCTGTTGTGGGGAGGCGGGTGGGTTACTCACCTCCAGGAGGAGGCTGAAATAAGCATGTTGGTGCTGCAACACATTTGTAGGGGGTGGGTATGTACCCAGCCTTCTGCGCTAACAGTGCTGGGGCCTGAAGGCAATCCTGCTAGTTGAAGGTTGCATCATGTGAAATATGCCTCCTGCCTGAGAGGAGCTCAAACCTGGTTTGCTCCTCTTCCCCTAAACTGAAGTGATGAAGCGAGGCTGAGGCTTCACTCCAGAATGAGCTGTATGAAGAAACTGGGTTCAGATTTGCTTTTTTCACAGCTGCTGTTCCCATGGGTAAGTGGAAGGGCAGAGGTAAAACATCAGCTTCATCTATGAAACCGAGGCACACAAGGAGAAGGGAAACCCTTCCGATTCTGGGTGGGCTTTCGGAATGGCATTAGCCACTGTGTTCTGTGGTCTAGGGGCAGCGTAGCATTTACTGATGATCCTGTGTGTTGTGAGGGGTCCCGCGGGTGCTGATGCACAACCCGTCTCTACTCCTAATTAAAACGACCGCTTGAGCGGTGTCCGTGGCCAGCCCGCCCGGCTGGGGGCGAGTGGAGTACGCAGCCCTCGCCGCAGGTTCCCGCTCTGCTGCGCTGTTGGATTCCGGCCGCAGCCAGCGGCTGCTCGGAGCGTGGTGGGGGAGCTGCGCAACTGCCGCTTTTCCCACATTACGGATGACCTTGAGGCTGCTTGGCACTGGGGATGGTAACGATCTGTCTCCAGTTGCTCTGTAAAACAGTTCAGAAGCTTTTAATAACAGTGGTATTTAAGTGACAATTGTGAGGCTGATGCCTCGTAGCTACAGAAGCTGGCTCTGGTGTTGCACGGTGTCTCAGAGCCCCGCTGTCTGCAGTGCTGTGCTGTGGTTATCCCCTGCTCCAGCGACGGGGACCGTTGCTGTCACCAGATGGTGTTACATCTCGGCAAAGAATTGTGTTTTTCACATAATTGCTTTTCCACCAGCGCTGGCTAAGGACAGGACAGGGAGTGGAGCTGCCGTGCCAATGTACCAGCCTGGCTAGGGGAAAGGCTGCCGTACGCGCTGAAAGCGGCCGCTGCCGTCTCTGCAGCGGACTCCGACGCTGGCAGGGAACGCCAAACCGCGGCGGCTGCTGCCCAGAGCCGTTAGCTGCGTCTGAAAGGCCAAGGTGGCCGGTGGTGGAGTAGTGGTTACTTTAATGTGTCTTTCCCTGGCTGAAGCCCAGCGGTCTTGCCAGATGTGAAATAATTAGCAGAGCAGCACATGGATCTTGAGCCGGATCCAGGTGGACCTGCTGTTCAGCCGGGTGTCCCATCAGCTCTGGGGAGACTCTGCGCTTTCCGTGTGATAGCAGTTTGGGATTCTAATTTCAGAGCATCTCTGGTGAAGCTTCTGTGGAAGCCTTCAGCCCACAGAGGATTTCCATTTGTCTCTCAACTGCACGCTGCAGTGGTTTTTCTGGGGCTTACCCATGTTTTTAAACTGAAAAAGGGAACTGAATTTTGAGACTTTCCGGTAGCGTGTACTACAGGAATCAAAATGGAGGGAGAATGGCAAGGTCATGGAGATCTTCGCAGTGGGCTTTCAGGGCATGCACTGAAAGTGGGGGGAGCAGAATCCAGCCCCTTCAACCCAGGGCAGCCCTATATCCAAGGGGTTAGAACCCAGCTGTGAGGGCACATGCCACAACTCGGGGAAGCAGTTACCAGCACAGGGCCCTCTGGGGCACCACGTGACAGCTCTTCCCACTGCGGGGAATAAACGAGGGGTAAGGCCTGCTGAGGGTGGGCTGGTAACACGAAGTCTGTTCCTCACCCTGTAGCTCGGCAGCCACGAGACCCCGGTGAGTCAGAACCAGCCTTTCGACGCAGGCTGGGGCTGACTGAGGGGGCAGTGAGCTGCTGGGGCGATGTGCTGGGGGGTCAGCAGTCCCTGTGTCCCTAGCTGCGCAGGGCTCCCCCTGTGAGCACCGCTGCCCTTCTGACGGGGGTGCGGGCATGTTTCCTTGGTGAGCATCGAACTAGGATTTCCTGTGGTCTGGGATCCCGGCAGAGGCTGAACTACACACACCAGGGTGCTGTGCAGGTCTGCTCCCTGGCTGGAAGACTTGCAAGCCAAGTGAGTATATGGGCAGCTTGACAGAGCCCTGGAAGGTAGAAAACCTGGGTTTGTTCCTGTTAGAGCCCTCTGTCTTCCTTGGGCAAGTCATAGAACGGTTTGGGTTGGAAGGGACCTTAAAGACCATCCAGTTCCAACCCCCCTGCCATGGGCAGGGACACCTTCCACTAGACCAGGTTGCTCCAAGCCTCATCCAGCCTGGCCTTGAACACTTCCAGGGATGGGGCATCCACAGCTTCTCTGGGCAACAAGTCACTTGTGTCAGTCCAAAATGACTGGGAAAGAGGAAACTTCCTTTTGGGATTTGCAGGAGAGAATGCTGTAGGGGCTGCTATAATCTCATTCTTGGTCTGAAGTACAGCAGCTTTCATAACAGCCACAGAACCTACAGTATGTTTTATCGAGTTATTGACATGGGTCTAACATTGAAAGCCATAAAGTGCTATTTTTGTAGCCAAGAGTCATTAATATGCTAATTGGCTTCTGCACTGAACCCAGCAGGAACGTTGCACAGGCCTTCAGGGCATGCAGAGTTCTGTACCTTTCCATGATACTTTTTTCCTCCCCTTTTGTCTCGGGGTGGGGGAAGGGATGCTGCAGATCACCCCCTTGTCTGGCCCTGCTGTCGCGACAGCCACAGTTCGTTCCAGGTGCGCTGCAGTCCTGGATGATGCTTTAAGCACAGAGGACTCCCCCCGCTAATAGGGCAGGATGGGGGTGTTGTTTAAGACCATAATACTCCATCCTCCCCCTCCCACGACCCAAACCGGCCTGCGTATCCTGCCATCTTGTGGTGTGCATCCCCTGAGGCACAGCATCCCTCTGTGCCGGGCTGGAGGGCTCGCTGCTGCCCGAGGGGAAGAGTCTGCTCGGTCCAGGGGATTTGGGATGCCCCTGCTTCAGGTGTGGGAAGGACTGCCCGGTGGGTATTCCCCACTTGGCTCATTCGCTCCGACAGCAGCGGGGAGTGCAGCAGGAGAGCCCCAAGGAGGGTACATCACCCCCTGGGAAGTCACTCCTCTGCTTCTGCGTCTTGTCTCAGTGCCCATGTTCGGAATCTCTGCATCTGGAGCTCCAGGGATTACCTGCCAGGCAGGCTGTGCTGCCGCTGTAGAAAACTCCCACCTGCTTCTTGCCTTTTGGGGGTGGGTAGGGGGTGCCTGGAACCTGGGAAGGCCATGGCGTGGTAAGGAGGCTCTTAAAGGCTGTCCTCGTTTAGTCAGTGCGGGGGTGGTAAATGGAAACGGTGTAGGGGTCACTCAGTTTGTCATCTGTGTCATCTGGGAGCGCTCAGACTCATTCCGAAACAAGATTAGGCGGCGCTCAGAAAGGAGCATTGCATGATGGGACAACAGTGGCTGCTGTGGCCTTGCCCAACCATCCCCACTGCCTGACTGCGCCTCGCCGTTTCGTCCTCTTCAACCCTCGGGACACTTTTTCCTGAGGTTGTGCTCCTGTGGCTTAGAATGAGGAAGTCTGTGTGGAAAGTCTGGTTTGCAGTGAAGTTGAATAGATGGGATTTTAATCTGCGGTGGTGTTCTAGAAGTGGAGCTTCAGCTGACAAAAAAAATCGAGGACTGCACATGCTTTTTTGTGGTTTAGGTACATCCCGAGTTAGCCAGCCAACAGAAGGTGGTGTTTGTCACCAAGTCAAGGCATTGCTCCTCCCTTGTGTGGACGGTGTCTGTCAGATGAAGGCAGCAATCCTGTTTCCTAGCAGTGGGCTCACTGTGGGAATTGTCAAAAGCAGTTGGTGTTTTCTTAGCAGCAAGTTGCTTGGTCCCTCTGTGCGTGAGGAGCTGCGGCACTGTGCGGGATGCTGTGTCGCTATGGTAACAGCGTGAGGGGCAGAGCTGGGGCAAACCCAGCATAGTCTGAGGATGAGGAGGGGGTGGCTTCGGCTGATGCCAGGAAAGCACTTGAGGCTTCCTTTCTTTCCCCTGCGGGGTGTGTTCATGACGGGCTTCCTCGTGTGCCTGGAGCCCCCAAGGGGCTGTTCATCCCTGTGCTCGGAGCTACTGCTTCCCCAGGTGTCTGGCAACCCGTGGCAGGTAGCACTGGGATGGCTCAGCTCTGTCATTCTTTTCCTTACTTGCTTCAGATCCCCTAATGGGGATGAGGGAAGGTTTCTGGAGCATTAAGGGTGTCCCCAGAGGCTGCTACCTCCTCTCATGGTACCAAATCAACACCCTTTTTTTTTTTAAACAAGATTGGTAAAGAAGGGCTCAGTGAGAGTGCTGCTCTAACAGTATCGAAGCTTTTATTTTGGCTGTGGGGTGTGCAGGTGGAACACAAGGACATGATAGACCTGTGCTTAGGGCTTCGTGTCCAGTCAGTGTGTGAGGATGGAGGCTGTGGAGGGGTCCAGGAATCCACTTGTAATTGGGATCAAGCTATTTTCACAACAAGCCTTTCATCCTCGCTCGTAAGTGGGAAAACGGATCTGAGCAAATCCAGCACCTGCCACACCAAAGCCCAGTCTGGTTGGGCTCATCCCGGTGCCTGTAGGTGCCCAGCGCCGGGCTGAAAGCCGCCCGGTTACAGCCACAGGCTGACCCTGCCTGGCAGGGAGGGCCGTCCTCTTGCGCTGGAGCCGCTGCTCGGGCTTGGGTGCAGCTCCCCAGAGATGTGCCAGAGGGGGATGCTCTGGATGGGAGCCTGTTCTCCCAGCCAAGCCGCTGGTCTCCTGGGTGGCTTTGGACCGTCCGTGCCAGGGGCCAGGCTCTCCCAGCCAGAGAGGCGAGCTCGCGTGCTGCGTGGCCCTTGGAGGGCTTCGCCTGCGCTGTGCCCCGTGGGCCTTGCACGAGACACAATCCAGGTCTGGAGGTCCTGAGTGGAGCTGTGCAGCTTGACTGCCTGACTGAGGCTCAGCGAGCCCGGCCGAGCTTTCCTGGCCCACCTGTAACTTGAGCTCTGGGAAAGGCAGGCGTGGGAAAGGAACCGTGGCTGCTGTCCCTGCGGTCCCAGAGAGCCACTTCAAGCGGCTCCAAGCCTACGGCTTCCCAGCGGAGGGGTAACACGAGGAGGGTTTGGCAGGAAGGGATCGAAGTCCCTTGCTAAAACTGAGCCCAGCTCAGTCATTTTATATGTCTTTATTTATAACTGTTTGTGAAGCAAGAATAGGAGTAACTGCCTGGAAAGGGGTCGACCGCCGCGGCCGTTGGAGGGTAGGGCTTGGGTCTGCCGGGAGCTGCTTCCAACACTCAACCTGCTCAGTTTGTACCGGGGGAGTTCTGGGTGTTTAAAGCTGCTGCCTGGAATAAAACTTGAAACCTCGAGCTCCTCACCCACTGTCTCGCTATCTTTGGCTACTGGGAGCTGGGTTTAGGGGAACAAAGCTAATCTTTGTCCCAGGTTACAAATTCCAACTCGGTGGGTAGTGGGGAGGAGGCGGGGGAGTGGTGAGCTGGCCTGAGGAGGGGCTAAGCAGAAGCACTCAGTGACTTTGGAAAAATTGCTGGAGTCACAAGCTCCCGTGGGCTGGGGCCAGCTGAGCTGCCTGAGGTCTGCACCGGAAAGCAAGTGCTACCTCCCTGCTCCTTGTTCTCGCTGCAAGGAAGATGACGAACCCAGCAGGAGTCAAGAGAGCAGTAACTACAGTGGCTGCCACAAAGGCAGCGTGAACTCCTGTTCCTGATACCGGAGTATGGAGCGTTAGCTGTGCGTCAGGGCCTGCAGTTAAAACGTGACCCCGGCACCCCGCAGGGAGCAGCTGTTTCCCGGTCCCGTAATGCAAAGCGAAGGGGTTGGCACCTCTCATCATCTGTAGGCATTCCTTGTCTCTAGCCACTTCTCCTCCCCATCTTGTCTATCCATCCCCCAAAAGTGGGGCTCATTGCGTGTCCCAGCATCCGGAGCAGCCCTTTGTGCATCTCTCCCCTGGGGTGGTATTCCCTCCTCGGTGATGAGCTTCCGATGGGGGAGCTCGGAAGGCTGTGTCTGCAGTTGGAAATACCCACTTGTGGAGCGGGAAGGCCGGAGAAGGTGATCAGGCCAAGGAATTTACTGAGTGAGAAAACACCTCCTGCCCTGCCCGGCAGGAGGGGGCTGTGCGGAGGCACCTGGGTTACACAGAGCAGGGGGCCACACCTGGCCTGGGGAGCCTCTCGGGCTTTACTGGGAGGGCTGATGAGGGGGCAGCTCTGATTTTTATCCTGAATGCATCACGTGTTTTGCAGACTTTCGAGTCACCGTGTTAGGGGACGCCTACGTAAGAGCAGGCTTCCGTGGGGCGTCACCATGTGCGGTCCGTCTTGCAGGCAGGCAGCTTCCCTTCTGGCCGTGGGGCGGAGGCAGGAGTGGGCAAGGGGACCTGTGGTTGACTGTTTTTCTTGAGGAAAACCTTGACTTATAGCCTCCCTTCTGGATTCTGTGATTTTTATCTGCTTAGTGATGCAAACATCATGAGGAATATTCCAGACTGTTGTTGAAAAAAGGAGATAAGAGCCATCCGACCCTTCGGGGCCAGTAAGCTTAAGCTGTTTTGTGCAAGTCCTGAGGCCTGAAAAGCAGCGATTGTTAACGTTCTTGGTGCTGTTAACGTTCTTGGTGCGGCTGCACTGCCCGGGGCTGTGCCACTCTGCGGTGTACTTAACGCTTTCCTCCTGTTCTTGCTCTTCTCAGGACTGACTCAAATCCCCCAGGTACAAAAGACCGAAATTTCCTTCACCGCCTCCGATCCCAAAAGCTTTGAGCCGTATGTGAAGAACCTCGAGAAGTTCTTAAAGGACTACAGCTCTGACCAGCAGACGGAGAGCATCATGTTTGAGGACTGCGGGGGTAAGTCTGGGTTGTTTCCCGCTGCCGAAGGGCTGTGCCCAGCGCCTCCCTG